ACAGAATAATGAGTGATACCAACATTACAGCGTAAAGTTTCAACAACGCTGTGTGATGTACATTATTGTATTAAATCTTCCTGTCACCTGCCTCGAGTCAGTTGTTATCCTTGGTATTTAGGAAAACAGGCTGAGGCAGATTAAATTCCCACAGCTAGTGGGGGTCAGGACCCTCACGTAACTAGCAGGCTACACTGCGCTTCCCTGCGCTCACACAGCCAAGATGGGACAGAGGCTGGACTCCAAGTCCCTGGCACTTTCCAAGAGGAATTTAAAGTTAAAGTACAACCTGATATCGAGAAACTCCCCATAGCTGAGTTGGCACAGTGAGAATTCAAGGTCACACTTTCCAGTCTTGCCCCGGTTTTGACACCTACTGGGTTTACTGCAGCACGGCAGCCACTGTGGAGAGAACTTTTCTTATTATACTACATTTTGTTCTGGCCCTTTTGTCTCTGGCACCATCTTTAAGATGACTAAAGCCTTCCTGAGGGCGTCCTTACGCAGGGTCACTGACTAGAAAAAGGAAACTTCTCTTGGCATCGGCTCCAAGAGAAGGGGCTCTGGATGCCCCAGGAGAAATCTAGGTAAGAGGGGCTGAGACTAACTCATTAAGACCACAGGCAAGTCACTCCGTCCCAGGCCCCAGTGAAGCCAGGAAGGCGAGGTAGGCTCCGTGAGATAAAAAGTGCCCAACTGGAGATATGCACACATCACAGGGTGCAAGAGGATTCAGTCTTCTGCTGGTGTGCTCGCATCTCATTATGATCATTATGTATCTTTTTTCACGGATATTAGAAAAAAGATGCATCACATGAAACCCACAGTTTCATCAGTATTATTTTTTGGATAAAAATGGCTTTAACAAAAACTGCTAACCTATCTGAGGAAAAGCATTAAGTAATGAGCACAGCAGGTGAGCGATGAACATGCAACTAAAGCTGGGCAAATACCAGACTAGGTGGTCAGTCAAGGCCCTTACATGTGTTAAATTCTACAGCTATTAGATTTAAAAATTAGAATAAATGGTATTTGCACTATAACAAGGAGGTCCCATGGGGATACAATGTAGGATAGTGATATGATGATCCAAGTCCATGAAGTGATTGCGTTTGTATTCCTGCTTTATGTTTGGTTTGGTTTTAACAGAGCAAAGGTCCCAGTTCCCTCCTCAGCAATAACTACTACCCGGCCAATATGGCTCAGTTGTTGAACATTGACCTATGAACCAGGAGTTCACGGTTCAATACCAGGTCAGGGCACATGCCTGGGCTGCGGACTCAAACCCCAGTTTGGGGCGTGCAGGAGGCAGCCGATCGGTGATGCTGTCATCAGTGATGTTTCTATCTCTCTCTCCCTCTCCCTTCCTCCTGAAATTAATAAAAGTTTATTTTAAAATAACAACAACTACCATGAATTGAGCTCTCTATGTGCCAGGGACTGTGCTAAGTGCTTCTCACTCATGTTCTCGTTAAATTCTCACAACCCCTTGGGTTAGGTATCATGAGCTCCATTTTATAGATAAGAAAGTAAGACTCAGAAGGAAAGTGACCACACAAGGCCCTACAGCCAATCAATGTCCGAACTGGGGTCTGAACTCCAAGTCTCATCACCCAAAACACCTGTTCTCTTAATCATGCTGCAGTTCTACCTCACTGACAAGTTTGAGGTCACCCTACACAGCTTGTCTCCTTGCCCTGGACCCTTTTCAGAATCCCCCTTCTTTTTGGTAGTTCGATCCCTACCCTCTAGCTCAGTGGTTCTCAACCTTGGCTGCACATTAGAAGCACCTGGGAATCTTTTTAAAATCCTGATTTCCGGGCCCCATCCTCCGGAAATTCTATTTGTTACCAATGTTGTGGCCCCACCCCATAACAAAGAAACAGAATTTCCGGAGGATGAGGCCCAGAAATCAGGATTTTAAAAAGATTCCCAGGTGATTCTAATGTGCAGCCAAGGTTGAGAACCACTAGCTCCTTGCTACAGACCAGCCATATCAGCATCACTGGGAACTTGTTAGAATCTCAAGTCCCACCACAGACCTACTGAACCACAACCTTCACTTTAACAAGATTTCCAGGTGACTTGTATGCTTGTTAAAATTAAGACTTAATCTAGAAGAGAGAACAACTCCTAGAGAAAGCAGGTGGGAAAGGTGACAAGGGTTTTACAGGCTGAAGGACCACACAGGCAGTCTTAGAGCTGAGAAAGGGGCAGGTCTGTTTGAACTGGGGCATGGGATGGGTGTTGGGTCATGAAGTCAGGACATGAGGTCAGGTGGTATAGAGTTTTGAATGCCAGGCCTAGGAGCAAAGACTCTATCCTGAGGGAAACAGAAAAACACTCAAAGGTTTAAGCAAAGAGAGAGAGAGGATTAGATGTGCACAGAGCCCTTTGAGAATATCTTTGTGTTCATTAAGGAGAGGTTGGATTTTGATAGGCAGTGAGAGAATGCTTCAGCGCCTGCGTGCAGGATAATTCAGGCCTGTTCTGGACAACAACTGGCCATGGGACTGGGTGATGACGGCTACGAGATGCAGGATGTCAGCACTGGAAAGAGCTTTGGAGACGACAATCTTCATAGAAACAGACTCAGGGAGACCACACAGCAAGCTCATGAGCTACCTTGTGGGCAGAGTGCTATGCTAAACGTTGATGGGATGTGTAGGCAAAGCTGGTAAATGGTGAAGCTGGGATTTGAACCGATGCTTTTAACTGCTACATGTTATGTCTAGAGTTTAGCCCTCCGTACGTTTCATGGCCAGCCATGCCCAGCCTCCTCCATCCCATCCTTAGCTCTAGCCCAGGGGTGGGCAAACTTTTTGACTCGAGGGCCACAATGGGTTCTTAAACTGGACTGGAGGGCCGGAACAAAAGCATGGATGGAGTGTTTGTGTGAACTAATATAAATTCAAAGTAAACATCATTACATAAAAGGGTACGGTCTTTTTTTTTTTTAGTTTTATTCTTTTCAAACGGCCCGGAACCGGCCCGCGGGCCGTAGTTTGCCCACGGCTGCTCTAGCCAGTCCACTCAAGGTTCGAAAATATTCCCAACTTTGTCTTGTCTTCACTGCTGTCACTACCTGAGAGCAGGCTGCCAGCCTCACATGGCCTGTTCTCCCCACAACAGCCAGTGAATCTGAACAGAAAACCCAATGTGCCTCCTCTGATTTGGGGCTTCTGATGGCACCGTATCACCTCACTCGAATGTAAAATTCCTATGCGGCTTCCAATACCTGTAGCTCTCTGGCCCCGTCTCCTCTGAGCCTTTGCTTTTGCTGTTTCCTCCTCCTGGAAGCCCCTCCTCTGCCTCCATTTGCCAAATGCCCACTGAGCTTTGTCTGTGAGCCTTCCCCACTGCCTTGAGCTGTCTGCCCTCAGTCCTCTGTCTAGGCCCCCATGTGTGTCTCCCCTTTCACACCCAGCCCTAGGATACAGCCCAAAAAGGCTTTTGGTAAAAATGAGTTGAAAAATCTCTAGGATGACCTTAAGGATCCTCCTAAGCCTTAGGAGTACCCTAATTAAGTTAATAACAATGTACCTACCTATATAGTTTAAGTTTAAAAAATTTGACTCTCAAAAGAAATTTCAATCATTGTACTGTTGATATTTGGCTCTGCTGACTAATGAGTTTGCCGACCACTGACCTAGACCAGTGGTCGGCAACCTGCGGCTCGCGAGCCACATGCGGCTCTTTGGCCCCTTGAGTGTGGCTCTCCCACAAAATACCACGTGCGGGCGCGCACCTACAGTGCGATTGAAACTTCGTGGCCCATGCGCAGAAGTCGGTATTTTGTGGAAGAGCCACACTCAAGGGGCCGAAGAGTCTCATGTAGCTCTCGAGCCACAGTTTGCCGACCACTGACCTAGAACAAGGTCCTAAACTTTAGAGGAAGAAGGAATAATCGCAGAATGAATAATATTTACATAGTGTTTATTATGTAAACAGTTCTCTCTCCGTGTGTTAACTCACTTCACCCTCACCACCCTAAGAAGTAGGTGTGGGTATGATTGTCCTTTTACAAATGAGGAACGTGAGGCACAAAGAGGTTAAGAAACTTGCCCAAGGTCATACAGCTGGTAAATGGAGATGAAAGTCCACCCTGAGCTCTGGAGTCCGAGTTCTTAACTTACAGGTGGAATGGGGATATCAGGAGATCACAGGGCCAGAGGAGGCAGAGTAAGCTAGTATGATGGGCCAAGGAGGCCTGAGAAAAACAGACCTACAGAGCTATTTTGACTGGGAGCAGAGGCCAAAGCAGCCAGCCCCCTCCCCGGAGGGCCCACCACACCCACTAGGGGGCAGCAGAACGTCTTTCCCTGGGAACTGGCTCCCCTGCAGGAAGAAACCAGAGCCTGGGCCCAGAAACCTGGCCCAGCCAGAGTTCTCCAGGTATGAGCAGGGCTGCACTGGGAGTTGTGGCAGTTTGGGGCCTGAAGGGGGAATCTAACTCCTATTCTGATATTAAAGCTCCTCTCGTTAAACCTTCCTCTCCCTCAGGATAAATCCCAAATGCCCTACCTGGCCTGCCAAACACCCTGAGCTCACCCACGCTTCTCCCCGTGCCCCACTCACTCCCTCTGGGCCACTGCAAGGCCCATTTCTTCTGCCTGGAGTCGCCACTCACCTCACCCCTCACTCTCACTGGTCTCAGATAAGCCATCTCTTGACTAACTTTGAGACCTTGGCCAGTCACCAAACTATCAAGCTTCCTGGGCCTCAGTTCCCTCACCTGTAAAATGGAACAAATACTACCTATGTTATAGAACCGCGGTGCTTAACACAGTGTCTGGAGAATAGTAAATGCTACTAAGGGTCCGGGGTTTCTAACCTGGCCCCTCCCCCACCCCGTCTGCATTAGGCTCCCAGCTCCGGGCTTCTCTCCCCGGCGCCTGCCCTCACCACACAGGATAGTAGCTGCAGGGGCAGATCCAGGGCTTCTGCCTGACGGAGGCTGCGCCGGAACCAGGTTAGGGATCGGGGTGTGGGACACGTACCTCCTTGTTGTCCACGGGAATCTTGAGTTTCACCACCTCATACTTCTCCTCACCCTCATCCTCCTCATCCTTCACCAGCAGCACCATCTCCTCTTGCATCTCTTCCTCCTCCTCCTCCACCTTCGGTGTCTGCTGTTCGCCAGGCATCTTGGTGTCCTAGGGCGGGCAGCTGGGTCAGAAGCTCGGGACCCACCCCGCACCCCGGCCTGGCCCAGGCAAGGCGGTGCAGCGCGGCTTCCCTCGGCCGACCCTGGGGTTGGGTTGGGCCCTCTCCCTCCCACCCAGCTCGGCCCTAGGCACCAGCACTTGCCCGCGACCAGCTCCGAAGACACTCGTTCACGCCACTCATCCCGGCGTTCAAGGCCCAGAACAGTTCGAATCTCCAGTGCCAACGAGTCGCCACCCTCCCCGCGCTGAGTCACTGCCGGCGCCTGGGTCGGGGCCCGGAACTCCAGGGCACGGGCTGGAGGCGGGATCGGGGCGGGGACCCTGAGGGTGCGCACTCACCAGCCGCAGGTTCAGCGCTCACGCAGCCCCAGGCCAGGGCTCCCGGCGGTTGGGCATTCGTGAGGCGTCGGGGGCGGGGCTTCTGGGCGGCCTGTCATTGGTCAGAACCGCTAACCCCGCCCCCTAGGGGAAGGACCCGGAGGACCCGAGCGTCCGGTCCGAGCTGCCCCGGGAGGGTGGGGAACCCAGGGCCTGTGGCTCCGCCGTTCCCCAGCTCCAGGACCCCAGGCCGCTCCACCCCGACCCTCAAGGTCCTCGCAGTCCGGTTCGGACCCACCTTCAGGGCGTTCCTCCTGTGCCGCTCGGGGTCTCCGCTGCAGCCCGGCACGTCCGCTCCGCCCAAACTAGGCCACGTGCGCGCCAGCCCCGGCCTGGGCCTCTCGCTGGCGCCCCGCCTGGAGGGCGGGCCCTGCTGCCTCCCCGCCTCTTCCCTTTTCCTGTTTCTCCCCCTTTGCCGTCTTTTCTCCTTCGCCAGCGACGCTTTTCCGGTCTCCTGGCCTCGGGGATAGCTGGCTCCTTGGATACATGCTTTCCAATCTACTCCCACAAAAAAAAAAAAGGCTACCGCGGCCCCGTGCTGTGTGGTGTGCCTACTATGCGCTGGTGTTATGCTACGCGTTTCACACACCTGAGCTCTTTTTAAAAATTAAATGTACTGAGGTAAAATATCGCCGCCCAAAGTCTAGTCTCCTTCGGGCTCCGTGTATTTGATCGCCTTTGTCCACTTCCTCCTGCCCCCACTACCTTCCCTGGTGGTGTCTGTATGAGTTTGTTGATCTCTTTTTTATCTACACAAAGGTGGGTCCATTTTACGGATGGGCCAATCGAAGTTCTGGGAAGTAAACTGATTTGCCTGAATTATATAGTAAGGGTTCTCTCTCACATCATAACCCTCACCCCACAACCCAGTAACTTTCACATTTAAAAATTAGTTTAAAAAAAAAAGTCTTTACAGTTTTTTTTATTTCCAACAGGTCAGGATTTGGATATTTCATTTAAAAGTTCTGTATTTCCCATTTCTCTTAAAAAAAGATATCTAATGCTCCCATTTTATGGGTGGGGCAACTAAGGTTCAAAATTGATGAAAGCAAAGAGAAATGCAGTCAGTAAATGTTTAAAATCCCTGTCTCGCCTCTTGACAACAGCTCTGTGTGTGGATCAGTATCTCCCTTTGACAAACGAGGGAATTAAATGTTAGAAAACCTAAGTAAATAGTTCCAAGTCACACAGCTGCTAAGTGGCAGATCCCAAAGCTCATGTTCTTTCTCTTGCACCAAACTGTCAGAAATGAGGTCACACAAGGAAATTGGTAGCAGAGCCAGGACTTCATTTCTTAGGTGGGTGATGGCCTTAGTCTGTTTTGTCCCTGGCCAGTCATATCAGTTCCTCTCACCCCTTCCTCCCTACTGACACCCTCCTTGGAAAAAGCTAGGAATTGGAGTCCAGCTCCTAACCCATGGACGTTTACCTTTCCCAGGGGATAAAGTCCCTTTGGGATTTTCAGCCAAATGACCTGTTTCTTGACAACATAAAAGAAGTCTCAGGGAGGCCGGGTTTCCCACTAGGCAGAGCATCAGTGATGGGCCTTCTATGTCTGTACTAGAACGGCTGGCCACAATTCTCCCTTACTTGTGTTAAACTTTAGATAAATGGCTTCATAGTTTATGTATTATTCTGTAACTTGCTTCTAATTTTTTTCTTGCAAAACACCTCAAATTTTACTCACGGTAAAAGTATTTAATAAGTGCCACATGAGTACAGAAAACACACAGCCTATATATAGCTCATCCTTTAAAACCAGAACGGTCACGTGAAAAGTCATACGGATCTTATTTTTACTTTAAAAATCTAAGGTACACACTGGGAATGGAACTGTGTTCTCCTTCTCGAGATGTGACAGCCACGTTTTCTGGTCTATCACACACAGCGCGAAGCCAATGTACTAACTCAAAGCAGCCGTGCGCAGGAAAGCTGTCCGCTCCCTCCTGCTCCTGCTGAGCTAGACCAGCAGGAGTCTGTCTTGGCAGGAAGATTTTGACAAGAAGAGGGCATTGCAGACCCTCTATCCCGACAGATACCCTAACCGAGCTATACAGAAAAAATGTAAGCAAACCTGCACACTCAACATGCTATAAGAAAAGGAGATTTTACTTCCAGCGTAAGCACACATTCACTGGAGCACCCACAGAAAGCATTTCTCCTTTCCCAGTGAAACAGGAATTTTTAGGGATGAAAGAGACAGGTTTAGGAAATTTTAGAAATTAAGAGGACCATGGAAAAGCACGGGGCTGCAGAGCAGCGGAAGGTATATTTCCGTAGAATAGGGAGCTGAAAAGCTGCAACAGGTACACTTCCATAGAATGAGGGAGCTGGGAACAGCAAAAGGTCTATATTTACAAAATAAAAGGAAGGAGGGGAGGAAAACCTCACATGCCCCATGTGAAGTTCGACATTTGAGCTCAGAAGTTACTATAGTAACCAGTCTAAGGGAATAGTGACCAATTAGAGGGGCTATCAAGACACAAAGATCTACAACCTTTATAAGCCATAGGGAAAAGGGAACTCAGTGGGACTCTCTCCCCCTCCCCACGTGGAGTCTGTACTTGTTCCTCAATAAATCTCCACCTTTGCTATGCCACCTTCTGTCCGTGGATTCATTCTTCGATTCCCACGGACAAAGAACCCGGGAACCAGTCTGCCCAGGGGAACACTGTGTGTTCCAGTCCAAAAATTCTGTTTCACCAGCACGAACAGCTAAAAAGCACACGGCATATAATACTTTGACCTTGAAGTGAGTAATCGTGGAACTTCCAAGATTATATCCACTAGGTCAGCCTGAGCATTTATCTATAAAAATAGTTTTTTCAATAATGCTTAAAAGAGAGTCCTAGAAATAGGGGGACTATATCGGACCAGCAGAAGACAGCGATACAGGGACTGCAAATGCGAGACTAGGAATTGACTTGGACATGTAGCTTTTAGGTAAAGGACATCTCGGTCGATTCCTACAGCCAAGACTCGCTGTGACAATAGGAGCTCCAGAAATTTCAAGACAGGCAGCTGGCTTGAGGAACACCCTCCATAAATGCTCCCCAACAGTAAAAACCCCATTGGTGCAACTCATCAACACGTGTACTAGGGAAGGCCCCCAGGTGGAATGCTGGATGTGGATTTGTCCAGAGGAGTCGACTCAAGGGAGGATGTCCACCGAGGGAGGAGGAGTAGGGTTACTGAACACAAGGGTTTTCTGAAGAAACGGATCCCAGGAGGGTCACACATTTTTTTTTCTTGGCCCATCAGTACTTGACATTAACAGAGTTGCAGAACAAAGCTGGTCTCCCCAAGATCTATCCTTCCATCCATAGCTGAAGCTCTCCCGGTGCACTGGGCTGATGTCTGGGACAATCTCGTTGCTGCAGGGGGAAGCTGTCAGAGAGAACGATTTGCAGTTACGTTGAAAGGAGTTAAAGCAGAATTGGGTAGACGGGTAAGGGGTGGAAGAAGGAGGAATCATGGAGCTAGCTGAAACCACAAAATGTTTAGCAGAAAAACAGGGCGTTTTGAAACAAGGATGTTTTTCTTGCAAGTGCAAAATAAAACGTTGCAAAAAGGCCAGGAACCACTCAGAGAGCCGCACAGATAGACAAAGAGCCGGCCTTTAGCAGATATTAGGGGAAGGACAGATGCTTCGGGGTCGGCCCATTTGGGTCAGACGGGGAGCCTGTGTTCGCTTAGGATAAATTCCTGCCTTGTTTGAACTTGAATTCCTCTGGTCCTCGGCTTCATTCTTCGATTCTGTGAGACACGACCCTGGGAAGAATTCCTGCTCGCCGGTTCCAGTATCAACGTCACCACTAAACCACTGCTTAAGTTCAGTCCCCGGCCTTCTTTTTCTGCTCTGTAGTCCAGAAACATTTCTTTAAAAGCCAAAAAATCGGTAAACGTGAGCAGCATGCCAAATATGTCACCAGCCACTTCATCTCTGTGATGCTGCAAAGTTGTCGTGAGGGCCTCCATGTTAAACCCAGGAATCCGTGCCTGCAGCTGTTCTTTTTTATTATTATTATGGGATTCTTAAAAATGAATTTTAATTTACTTCAGTGAAAAAAATCAGCATATCCTCTATAGCACTTGTTGCAAAGATAAAACAGTGGGTGTTTAACAAAAAGTCTGGGAATCACTATTTTAGGTTCTAAGTTAATAGTAACTGGTTAATTGAACTTTAAGTTATTTGACCTTTGAAATGATTGTGCAATAGTCCTATTTAAAACTGGAACTGTTCTTCTACCCACTGTCTGGTTATAGTAAATGTTGTCCTATAGGCATGTGTGTGCTAATGCTGTTGTTAGCTGTGGGGTTGGGCCAAGAGACAGGGGAATGAGCCCCTACCCCCCAACAATAAGGTGGCAGAATTAAACAGGCATAAAGGAACTGTTTTTCCTTTCACTAACTAAAAAGTACTTCTTAAAATAGTGTACAAACTAGATCAAATAGAACTACTTTAAGGAAATAACCTGAAGGAAGGTTAAGCAAAGTCTGTTACCTACTTAGACCTATACAAATCGAACATAACCTTTAATGTAATACTATATAAACTGCATGCAATTTGTTTTACTATGGTTGCAAATATCAAAAAATTTCTATATGTGACACGGCACCAGAGTTAAGTTAGGGTTTTTCAAAATACTGATACACCAAGCTCAAAAGGTTCACCATCACTGTCCTAGATCCTTCCTGGGTAGCTAATGGGCTGTGGGAGGTGCAGCAAGTGCTGCCAAAACAAGTGAAACTCACAAGAACATTGTAACTATGGTGACCACTACCTTGTTTACCTCTGGCTATAAAATAAAGGCTCAGCTTGCCGTCTGGATCTCTCTCTGTGGCCTCAGCCAGGCACCGGAAGATCCACCCAGACCCAGCTTATTCTCTTTGTCTGTCATTTCTTCGTCCCTTCACCGCCCTCACTCAGGCTTTCGAACCCTTGGCTGAGCTGACTCGGCACAGCCTCTCTTATAGTAACAGGTGCTGGCTGCTGCTCTCTCAACGGACGTTCCCATCCCATAGCAGTTATTTTCACAGATCAAAATACAAGGTAATTTCCACATATTGTAAGCTTCAAATATCTGACCCTGGTTAGCAGTGCCATCATGACACAAAGTCAAACAGACCTCATCTTTTCCATTACACTTTCAGGCCAGAGCATTGCCAGCTCCCAGGGGCACCTGAGCTCCAACGATGCCATT